TCAAGGACAACCAATGAATTGCCTTTGTCGGAAGGAAGGATACGAATAGAGTTGTTAGATTTCAGGGAGGCAAGGGCAAGCTGGAAGCGATGAGGAAGGTGGTGATTTTTAGAAAACAAACTGTCAAGAACGGGGATAAGACCCCCCCCCCCCACCCCTAAAGGCAGGCAGGTCCGAAAGAGTACTAGAGTTAGGATCGACAAAATTATCAAAATAACTAATGAGGTCAATGCGACAGCACGGGCCAGGAAAAGTAGCGAAAGAAAGAGTACCTGACTGTCTGTATATGTGTGTGCTTTAATGTGTGTTTTTATATGTATGTATTTTTATATGTATGTATTTTTATATGTATATATGTATGTATGTATGTATGTATGTATGTATGTATGTATGTATGTATGTATGTATGTATGTATGTATGTATGTATGTATATTTTAATGCTACGTTAATTATGGAACTACAGAGATTCCCCAGCTCATGGATTGCTAAACTTAACTTAAAAAAAACAAAAGCTGCACTTCAGTCTGTGTGCTCTGGGAATACCCGAAGATACTTAAGCCCCATAATAAAACAAATTATACTTTAAGTAAAATAAGAATTATCACCTGCAATACATCTGTCTTGTACATGTAAAAAATAATGAGACATAAATCATGATAATAAATAAATAGACTCAAGACTTTTACAGACATGAAAATACAAAGTTATATTACCAGGCCCATAAACCTCACCAACTGCCTAAACAGTTCTTCGGACTTATGATCGTAGGTCATAATAGGTCCACCAGACGAGCGCCCAGCACCAAGGCTTCCCAACTACCAGACTATACCCAGGCTTCCCAACCCACAAGGTAAGCTGCCCCGTCCCCGAGAGGTAGGTGGAGTGATTCATATTAATCGATAACAACTTTGTTCCACCCATGCAAAATAGTTTGCCTTTACCCTGTCAGTTTATCTGAGAATTTTGTAGGTGGTGATCACGTCTCGTTTGGGAGACAGTGGCTTTTGTGGATGTATCATAGTGGCGTCTGTGGATGTGCAGCAGGGGTGTCTGTGCAACAGTGGCGTCTGTGGCTGTGCAACAGTTGCGTATGTGCAACAGTGATAGCTTTTGAGAAATGGCATAACCGTGAGAGTTTATATGTCAACTAATAACAGTGCTTTGTTGTCGTAACTTTTGTATTGGATATTTTTGCCATATTTAAAGATAATAACCATTGACAAAACTGCCAAAAGCTACGCAGTACGATCAAAATGCTCAGAAAGGTTTGATTGCTTGACCAAATTCCCAAGGATTGAATAATGAGTGTTCCAGACGGTGATTGAAGAGCACACTTTAAGTCCTGCAAAACAGATTTGAAAGGAAAAATGAAGATATGAAAAATCCCGCTCCGTGTACGAAGCCTATCAATGCAAGTCCCATCAAGACTTACACACCCCTTTCTTCATTGTTGATACCTGCTTAACATAAATCATCAAAGCTGGATGGAGCACTTGCCAGGCACTTACGTTGTCTCTCTGCTCTAAGGACCTGCGACCATCTAGATGATCTGTGCAACGCAAATATTGATAATATTAATAATGTGTCAGATTTAAAGATGCACCGCACATAGTGCAGTAATATCATATTTATTTTTGTGTGTAGTCATTTTCTGTTGAATGATGTAGGAACAATCACTACTTACAAAAAAGATCTTCAAGTTTCTTCTGAACAAGATCCATCTAGTGCTCAAGTAGAAGTTGAAGAGGATGATTTGCTTAAAGAGGTTGATGATTTTGGCTTTGCTAAATGTGGAAATATCAAAATAACATTATCAGTTTCATTATTTCATTAAATTTCAGTGTTTTATATATATATATATATGTTGTACCTAGTAGCCAGAACGTCGTACTCGGCCTGCTATGCAAGGCCCGATTTGCCTAATAAGCCAAGTTTTCCTGAATTAATATATTTTCTCTATTTTTTTTCTTATGAAATGATAAAGCTACCCATTTCATGAGGTCAATTTTTTTATTGGAGTTAAAATTAACGTAGATATATGACCGAACCTAACCAACCCTACCTAACCTAACCTAACCTATCTTTATATATATATATATATATATATATATATATATATATATATATATATATATATATATATATATATATATATATATATATATATATATATATATATATATATATGCCTATACTTGCATAAACCACAAGTGAAGATTAACAATCTTTGGACAACACCCACCAGTGGGCCTCGAACCCAGAAAGCACAACTACCTTCCAGTAGCTGCCATAACTAGTACGCCTTAACCCACTACACCATCAGACCCTACAAAAGAAGTAGAGACTTCGAGATATATATACACCTCAAATATCTCCACTTCCCGAGGGCACTAGACAAGTGAGAGGTTACTCTGCGTTTTTCATCAAGCCACTGTTAATGTGAGAGAACTCGTGTCCATGCTATAAGCCTATACTTGCATAAACCACAAGTGAAGATTAACAATCTTTGGTGAACAAAGATTGAAGATTAACAATCGACATATATATATATATATATATATATATATATATATATATATATATATATATATATATATATATATATATATATATATATATATATATATATATACATATATATATATTATTAAATATGACCGAAAAAGTAAAATTCTAACACGAATTTTCTCAATCTTTCGTACATTTCTTTTCACTGTTGGAGGTAATTCAAAAATCAATTCTCCAAAATTCATTTTTATTTCTAGTCTGACGCGACACTTGAGCGCGTTTCGTAAAACTTATTACATTTTCAAAGACTTTAGTTAACACATACACAACTGAATAGAACTTACACATCTCCGATTTTGTTTATATCTACATTTGAGTGAGGTGGATGGGGTGAGGTGGTATTTAATAAGGTATTAATTTCATCAACACAAGCCAGAACATGAAACAATGGGAATTGAATAGAAGTGATTGTAGAAAGCCTATTGGTCCATATTTGTTGATGCTTCTATATTGGAGCGGAGACTTGAGGTGGGTAGAATATAGTTGTGCATTAATTGGCTGTTGATTGCTGGTGTTGACTTCTTGATGTGTAATGCCTCGCAAACGTCAAGCCGCCTGCTATCGCTGTATCTATCGATAATTTCTGTGTTGTTTACTAGGATTTCTCTGGCAATGGTTTGGTTGTGGGAAGAGATTATATGTTCCTTAATGGAGCCCTGTTGCTTATGCATCGTTAAACCCTAGAAAGGGATGTTGTTGTCTTGCCTATATACTGGGTTTTTTGGAGCTTACAGTCCCCAAGAGGGCATTTGAAGGCATAGACGACGTTAGTCTCTTTTAAAGCGTTCTGTTTTGTGTCTGGAGAGTTTCTCATGAGTAGGCTGGCCGTTTTTCTGGTTTTATAGTAAATCGTCAGTTGTATCCTCTGATTTTTGTCTGTAGGGATAACGTTTCTATTAACAATATCTTTCAGGACCCTTTCCTCCGTTTTATGAGCTGTGGAAAAGAAGTTCCTGTAAAATAGTCTAATAGGGGGTATAGGTGTTGTGTTGGTTGTCTCTTCAGAGGTTGCATGGCGTTTCACTTTCCTTCTTATGATGTCTTCGACGAAACCATTGGAGAAGCCGTTGTTGACTAGGACCTGCCTTACCCTACAGAGTTCTTCGTCGACTTGCTTCCATTCTGAGCTGTGGCTGAGAGCACGGTCGACATATGCGTTAACAACACTCCTCTTGTACCTATCTGGGCGGTCGCTTTTGGCATTTAGGCACATTCCTATGTTCGTTTCCTTAGTGTAGACTGCAGTGTGGAAACCTCCGCTCTTTTCCATGACTGTTACATCTAGTAGACTGCAGTGTTTCCACACTGCAGTCTTCACTAAGGAAACGAACATAGGAATGTGCCTAAATGCCAAAAGCGACTGCCCAGATAGGTACAAGAGGAGTGTTGTTAACGCATATGTCGACCGTGCTCTCAGCCACAGCTCAGAATGGAAGCAAGTCGACGAAGAACTCTGTAGGGTAAGGCAGGTTTGAATACATCACCTACAAGCTCTCTTTCCTACGCCAGTCATCATATACTCTTTCCACTTTATGATTGTTCCTTCGTTATTCCACATGTAGAATATGTTGTTCACTTTTGGTCATCATACTGAATGACAAAGATATTCTTAACATTTAAAAACCTCGCTTATAATGAAAGGTTAAGAAATGTTATTTAAGATTCTTTAGAAAGCGAAGATTAAGTGATGTAATTAATGAAGTGTATATGTGAATGAAAGAGTATAACAAACAAGGTATTAGTCAGTTCTTAAATATGTAAACAACAAACAGAATACGAAACAATAGCTTTAAATTTCACGTTTTTATTCAGAAAATACCTAGGTAAATAATAGTTTGGAAAGAGGGCTGCTTGTGTAGGTAATACATTATCGGCAATAGAACTGACGTGGGATAGTGGGCTTGCATCTGGCGAGTCATACAAACTTTAACTGGATACGCAACGACTTTTTGTAGTGTCATGGTGGCGGAAACTGATCAGTAGCACAACTCAGTGTAGCTCTATTTACATGGGTTTCGAACCGTGGACACCATGCGTCTGAGGCCAAAGCTGTTGCTCTCCGTGTAGCTCTGTTCTCTCTCTCCATGATGCTTCCTAAGCTTTTGACAAAGCAGAACACGCTAAACCCTTTTAAAGACCTACTTAACAGAAACCTATGTCTTATCATCGCCAGATTCGATTCCGATGACATAGGGCGGGTAAGCATGGCGTGGAAAGATGTGGGTCAAGGATGAAGAAAATCTTCAGCAGCAAATGGGATTATAGGTGAAGCGGGAGACTTACAATATTGTGGCACAACAACATTATATTTGCAGGCGCTGGTGATGCTGTAAGTTGTCTGGAGTTCACTTGGTGCCTCGCTGTTGATGTCTCGCAGGAGGATGAACGGTGGTGAGGGCGGTGCTTGTTCTGTAGGGTAGTTCTTCTTTGTTCACGTTGATGTGTTGTCCCTGGCTGTTATGTCTGCTGTGTTGTCTCTGGCTGTTATGTCTGCTGTGTTGTCTCTGATTATTATGTCTACTGTGTTGTCTCTGGTCGTTATTTCTGCCATGTTGTCTCTGGCTGTAATGTCTGCTGTGTTGTCTCTAGCTGCTATGTCTGCTGTGTTGTCTCTGATTGTTATGTCTTCTGTGTTGTTTCTGGCCATTATATCTGCTGTGTTGTCTCTGGTTGTTATGTCTGCTGTATTGTCTCTGATTGTTATGTCTTTTGTATTGTTTCTGGCTGTTTTGTCTGCTGTGATGTCTCTGGCTGTAATGTCGGCTGTGTTGTCCCTGGCTGTTATGTCTGCTGTGTTGTCTCTGGCTGTTATGTCTGCTGTGTTGTCTCTGGCTGTTATGTCTGCTGTGTTGTCTCTGATTATTATGTCTACTGTGTTGTCTCTGGTCGTTATTTCTGCCATGTTGTCTCTGGCTGTAATGTCTGCTGTGTTGTCTCTAGCTGCTATGTCTGCTGTGTTGTCTCTGATTGTTATGTCTTCTGTGTTGTTTCTGGCCGTTATATCTGCTGTGTTGTCTCTGGTTGTTATGTCTGCTGTATTGTCTCTGATTGTTATGTCTTTTGTATTGTTTCTGGCTGTGATGTCTCTGGCTGTAATGTCGGCTGTGCTGTCTCTGGTTGTTATGTCTGCTGTGTTGTCCCTGGGTTGTTATGTCTGCTGTAATGTCTCTGTTATGTCTTCTGTGTTGTTTCTGGCTGTTTTGTCTGCTGTGATGTCTCTGGTTGTTATGTCTGCTGTGTTATCTCTGGATGTTATGTCGGCTGTGTTGTCATTAGCTGTTATGTCTGCTGTATTGCTCTGGTTGTAAATGTCAGCTTAATTGTCTCTTGCTGTTATGTCGGTTGTGTTGTCTCTGGCTGTTATGTCTGCTGTGTTGTATTTGTTTGTTATATTATGTCTGCTGTGTTGTCTTTGGCTGTTATGTCTGCTGTGTTGTATTTGGCTGTTATGTCTGCTGTGTTGTCTTTGGCTGTTATGTCTGCTGTGTTGTCTTTGGCTGTTATGTTTGCTGTGTTGTCTTTGGCTGTTATGTCTGCTGTGTTGTCTCAAGTTATTATGTCTGCTGTTGTCCTTGGCTGTTATGTCTGGTGTATTGACTCTGGCTGTTATGTCTGCTGTGTTGTCTTTGGCTGTTATGTCTGCTGTGTTGTTTCAAGTTATTATATCTGCTGTTGTCCTTGGGTGTTATGTCTGCTGTGTAGTCTCTTGCTGTTATGTCTGCTGTGTTGTCTCTGGTTATTATGTCTGCTGCGTTGTTTCTGGCTGTTATGTATGAAGTGTTTTTTTGGCTGTTATGTCTGTGTGTACTCTCTGGCTATTATGTCTGCTTTGTTGTCTCTGGTTGTTGTGTTTACTGTGCTCTCTCTGGTTGTTATGTCTGCTGTGTTACTTGCAGCCTCGTCTGAACTTGACTTCTTTTCGTCACGCAGTCTTTATGATGATAAAGTTTGCAGTAATCGGGGTCGATGTGCGCCTGTTACAGCCGGGTGAGGTCTCAACAGTAGCGCGTAGCTGAGACCTCGATCCTCGGCTTTGACGGAAAGGGGGCTCGGGCAACATCAGTTTATTTCTTACTTGAATTTGATCATTGAAGCATCGGGCCTGTGGCAGCTTTAACTGGAGGGTGAAGATGGTGTCGGGTGGAGCTGACACGTGCCTTAGTCAGATGCAGATGCTTGGTCACTGTGCGTCGTGACGGTGGAGTTGGTGGAGGTTTCGGTGACATCCATTTCAGCATCCATTAGTCGAAGGGAAGGATTCCACTTGGCTGGAGATAGGCAGTGTTGGTGTGGCAGATGCAGGTGATTCAGTGGTTTGAGGTTCAGAGGTTGGCGTTGCACGACTAGTTGCAGGATCTGTATGTTACACTGTTATTGGAGGAGTGAGTGTTCTTGTAGGAACACGACGTGCTGCGGTCGATGTTGCAGGATCACGACATGTTGGGATTGAAGTTGTAGGATTGGGAGGTGCCATTGCTGGAGCAAGAAGCAGATCGTGCGGTACCTGCAATGATCGGAAGACAATTTGTAGTGAGAAGCCTATTGAGGGTGTAAGGAAACACTCTGATATCAGTGCCTGCCGGCATGTCAGCAAGGTGGAGCTGTACAAGCACCTAGTTGTTGTTGGTGGTTGGTGGCTGTAGTCGGGTCAGTAGCTGGGTACGGCCACCCCAGGGGCGGGGTGAAGGTGAGGTCAGTAGCTGGGTACGGCCTACCAAGGGGCTGAGGGATGGGGGAGGTCTGTAGCTGGGTACGGCCTCCCCAGGGGCGGGGTGAAGGTGAGGTCAGTAGCTGGGTACGGCCTACCAAGGGACTGAGGGGTGGTAAGGTCAGTAGCGGTGTGCGGCCTCACCCAGGGACGAGGTTGTGGTGAGGTCAGTAGCTGGATACTATTCCCAGCCCCCAGAGGCGGGGTGGAGGTGAGACAGCTGTACTCACACGTAAAACAAAGAACGCTGATGTTCAGATGTTGGGAGGTGCAGCCGGGTTAGGTGTCAAGGAGGCTGGTCCAGCCTCGGCCACATTTTTGTAATTTCTACTTGTGTGTGTGGACATTGAGGCGAGGCTGCAGTGTGTGCTCCGTCACAGAGTAGACAGCGTTCGTGGATTGCAATGCGGGTCTTGTAATTGTGCTCCTAGAAGCAGATGCGCCATGTTCGTACGTGCAGTGTATATTTCCTGGGAAAATGGTCGTACGCATATAACACTTGAAGCACTGTTTCAGCTGGATGTGCCTCTCCTTCTGCACTTGGTGCTGTGTTGTCGAGACACGGAAGCATCTTAATCAGTTCCCCATAGCCAGTGTCGCTTCAGCAACAGAGTTGAATGTCACCTTGGGTGTTGGTTATTGATTTCTGTCAATGGGGATAATTTCCCATGCAACTTCAGTCAGTGTGTGGTTCTCTTCGTTCATACTTGCAACAATATCGTCAGTCTTCCTTTCGGATTATTAAGGAAGTAAGTCGTGTGATAACGATGGCTCTCTCTGCCAGGTGTCGTCGTGTTGGGGCAAGCAGGAGACTTGCCGCTAGAAGGGCAGTGTGGGTTGGAAAGGTTACCAGCATGTATAGGGACTATTCGCTGGCGGGCCAACGTATATATAGCACCATCAAGAAGGAACTGCTTGCCATAGTGATGTCTTCAACGATAGAGACGTATCTTCTATGTCACCAACCAGTCACCTATTCTCCGACCACAATCTACAGCGTTCCCTCCACCAAACTCAGTTCAACGACCAACGACAGGCCTTGTATCTACATAATTACATCATCAGCATACGGTACATCAAAGGATCAGACAACACCGTGGCATATGCTTTGTTACGTGTTCATGAAGTGGAGCCTCCCTCTTATTCAATTCTCCCTGTTTCATCATCTCAGATTACAAGACGAAGCTCTAGGGAGATGAGCTGTCACTAAATTACCCTCATTATTCGAGTCTGGGCTTCTCCTGAGCAGTCATCGACAAGTCCAGGTAAAGATAAGTCCATTCAGGAGTTTTATGTAATTGTTTCATGAGTATACTGTTAAAATAAAAAACTGGTTATTAACATGTAACATGATATTCGATGTTAATTGGTGTGTGTCATTCCTGCACCAACCCTAGCGCTGTCACGTTGTTAAACCACCGACACGATAGTTTAGCCATCGCTCCACCTTGCCCACCAGGAGGCAAGCCGATTTAATCAGTTAGTTCAGTCTCTCTGCTGGGGTAACCTCTAACCGCTTACTGAATGCCATGACAGCTCGTTAAGAGTTGGTCTGTTAGGTATATGTATCTTAAACACTGTACTTTTATACACTTTGCTGTTGTCAGTATCCGGGTGATTTAATTTTCATTATTCATATTTTTATTCTATTTTATGTTTGGCTTATGTTTTATGTCTACAAAGAAAGATTTTGTTTGAATTAATTTAACTAATATAAACCCCTGACAGTCCAGATTACCCGGCACTGGAGCTTTTAAGCCGCACTCAAGAGTACAGGCAATCGAAACCCGTCCTTAACTTCTTCACGACTTAAGGTCACTATAGGGGTTTGTTTTTCTAAGGCAAATAATTATTCCATAACTAGTGTACCTGGAGATATACTCTGCACCTTCTCTGCTTATCCAGTTCTCTCTTGAACACTGTAAGGGGATTGCCAGTTATGCCCCTTATGTGTAGCGGAAGCGTGTTGAACAGTCTCGGGCCTCTGATGTTGATAGAGTTCTCTCTCAGCGTACCTGTTGCACCTCTGCTTTTCAACGGGGGTATTCTGCACATCCTGCCATGTCTTCTGGTCTCATGTGATGTTATTTCTGTGTGCAGGTTTGGGTCCAGCCCCTCAATTATTTTCCACGTGTAAATTATTATGTATCTCTCCCACCTTCGCTCAAAGGAGTACAGATTTAGGCTCTTTAGTCGGTCCCAGTAATTTAGATGTTTTACTGAGTGGATTCTAGCAGTAAAGGATCTCTGCACGCTCTCCAGGTCAGCAATTTCTCTGCCTATTTTTCCGGTAATTCCTTTTGAGCGCATTTTATGTGCAATAACACCATGGTCACATTTATCTAAATCTTTTGCGAAATCTGTGTAAATTACATCAGCGTTTTGTTTGTCTTCCATAGCATCCAATGCCATATCATAGTGGTCCAGCAACTGCGACAGGCAAGAGCGCCCTGTTCTGAAACCATGTTGTCCGGGGTTATGGAGATGCTGTGATTCCATGTATTTTGTGATCTTACTTCTTAGCACTCTCTCAAAAAATTTTATGATGTGCGATGTTAGTGCTATCGGTCTGTAATTTTTTCCCTCTGCCTTATTTCCTCCTTTATAGAGTGGTGCTATCTCTGCTGCTTTTAGTATGTCAGGGATAACGCTAGTATCTAGGTTTTGTCTCCACAGAATGTGAAGGGCCTGCGATAGTGTTTTTTTACAGTTCTTGATGAATATAGAGTTCCAAGAATCCGGGCCTGGTGCAGAGTGCATAGGCATACTTTTTATGGCTTCTTCAAAATCCAGTGGGGATAGGGTGACGTCTGATATATGATTTGATGTTGGTATCATATCCATGAAAAATTAATTTGGGTTATCAATCTTTAGTGCGTTTATTGGCTCGCTGAAAACAGAGTCGTACTGCTTCCTCAGTAACTCGCTCATTTCTTTGTTGTCATCGGTGAAAGTTCCATCTCCCTTATGCAGGGGCCCGATACTAGATGTGGGTTTTTATCTTGATTTTGCATAGGAGAAAAAATATTTCGGATTTCTCTCTATTTCACTGATGGCCTTTTGCTCTCTTTGCCTCTCTTGGGTTTTGTATGATTCTTGTAGCTTGAGTTCAATTGTTTATATTTCTCTACCTAACCTTCTTCGCCGTTCTTGAGGAAGGGTGCGACTCTCAAGTTGTTCCATGATTCGTTTTCTTCGCTTATATAGGGAACGACGTTCCCGTTCCAATCTGCATCTCTTTCTCTCTTTTCTTAGGGGTATGCGGTTTGAACATATTTCTAGTGCTACTGAGCTTATTTTTTCCTGGCACTGGTTCAGGTTTGCATTTTCTAGCTGTTCTTCCCAGTTTATTTCGGAGAAGTCCTGGTTTATTTTCTCCCAGTTTATCTGTTTATTATTGAAGTGGAATTTGCTGAAATCTCCTCTACCGGGAATCTGGATTGGTTTTGAAGGTCTATTCCCCATGGTTGTCAGAATTTCAATTAAGTTGTGATCTGAGTAACAGGTATTTGTAATCATTATGTTCCCGTTCAATTCATCATTATTAGTGAAAATGAGGTCCAGCGTGTTCTCCTTCCTAGTTGGTTCTACTATTTGCTGGTTTAAGACAAACCTGTTGCACATCCGTAGCAGGTCATTTGCATGTGCCTGTTCATTTAGGCTACTTCCTGGTATTCTTTCTGATATTACTGTATTAGCCAGTTGCTTCCATTTCAGGTGCCGTAGGTTGAAGTCCCCAAGCAGGATGTTGTTCGGAGCGGGATTTGTGAGGTTTTCCAAGTGGTGTTCTATTTTCATTAGTTGGTCTTTAAACTGCTGAGGGTTTGCCTCCGGTGACTTATATACAAGGACAATAACTACATTTAGGATCTCTATTTTGATTATCAGCACTGCCACCATATCATTTGAGGTGTTTAGCAGCTCAGTACAAATGAGTGTGTCTTTGATGTAGAGGCTGACCCCACCCTGAAGCCGGTGTTTCCTATCACATCTGAAAAGATTGTACTCTGAGATCCATATTTCACCATCATGGTAGTGCTTTGTGTGAGTTTCCGTTAGGGCTGCAAACACTGTATTCGCCTCATGAAGGAGACCATCTATAAAGTGAACTTTATTGGATTTGCGTGTTTTTATACTCTGGATGTTGGCAAATATAAATGATGTTATCGTGTTAGTGGAAGTGCTGGATGCTTTACTTGGTGTTAATATCTGAGGCTCTGGTAAGGAGGCCACTGTGTTTGCGTCCTCTCTAGCATTTGATCGAGTTGGTGGTAGAGTCTGGTCATTTTTAGCCATTCTTCTCCTCCTCCTCCTCTTGCTAAAAAATTATCCCGGTCGATGGAGTAAAGTCTGTTTTCATAGTGGCTGTCTGTCGGTTTTATTCGCCTGGTACCTCTTATATGAAAAGCTGGACATTCAGCATTGAAGCACTCTTTCCTGTCCAAAGAGTTCTTGCAAATTTCTGGGTGAAAGAATTCACAGCTTTTGGTACATATACCTGTATTGAGGAGGTTTCTGCACTTTCTAGGGTGATCGTACTTACATGTTCCATTTGTTCTTCCCGATATCCCATGTTTGCAGGTAGCTCATTTGTAATACCAACAGATTTTGGGGTCTTGTTTTGTTTGTTTCCCTCTGCCAGGGACCGCACTCTGCTGCGGCGTCCCCGACACTGTGCTCTGCTCCGGGGCCTGTGACACCGTGCTCTGCTCCGGCGCCATTGACACCACGCTTTGCTCCGGCGCCACTGCCACCGCGCTCTGCTCAGGCGTTTCCGACTCCGCGCTGTGCTCAGGCGTCCCCGACTCCGCGCTATGCTCAGGTGTCCCCGACTCCGCGCTGTGCTCAGGCATCCCCAGCTCCCCGCTCGGCTCAGGCGTCCCCGACTCCCCGCACTGCTCAGGTGTTCCCGACTCCATGCTCTGCTCAGGCGCCACTGCCACCGAGCTCTGGGCCGCATCGGTTGCTCTCATATTTTCTTTGCTGATTCCGACAGCTTCGTGAAACGTCTACCATATGTACATTGGCGACGTACGCATCGGGAAACCAAAATAGAAAACCCCACAGCCAGGTAGCAGCAGACGCGCTGAGTTAGTCTCAGCACAGAGCTACGTCTCACCGGCCCTGGCTCCTGCTCAACTATTTATTATACCTTCTGAGGGAACTAATATTGATGTGACCAAAGACGATCTGCTTGTAATGTAAGCTTCAGATGCCGGCAGAACTTTGAGGCAATATAAATATTTCTTTACAGCTTTTACACTGATGGTGTTAGTTCCATAAAACCTTTTACTGCAGTGTTTTTAATCGTTAAAGAAAAAATATATATCCTGATATCTTTGGCTTTATCTGAATTTCGCAGCGGCGTTGAGGGAGGGAATTATCAGGGAAAAGCACCAAGCCATTACGATTGTATAGCACTTGGAAGGGGTCAGGATTTGGGATGGGACTGGGGGGAAAGAAATGGTGCACTGCTTGATACCTTACCTGGTTGATGGGGTTCTGGGAGTTCTTCTACTCCCCATGCCCGACTCGAGGCCAGGCCTGACATGTGAGAGCTTGGTTCCTAGGCTGTTCCTTGGAGCGGCCTGCAGGCCTACATATCTACCACAGCCCGGTCGATCAGGCACGTCTTGAAGAAAACTATCTAGTTTTCTCATGGAGATGTCCACGGTTGTTCCGGCAATATTTCTTATACTCGCTGGGAGGATGTTGAACAACCGGGACCTCTGATGTTTATTCAGTGTTCTCTGATTGTGCTTATGGCACCTCTGCTCTTCACTGGCCTTATTCCGCATTTTCTTCCATATAATTCACTCCAGTATGTTATTTCACCGTGTAGATATGGGACCTGCCCTATAGTATTTTCCACTTGTTTTTTATTTGATATATCTCTCGTCTCCTTTCTAGTGAGTACATTTGGAGAACATTGAAACGATCCCTATAATTTAGGTGCTTTATCGTGTCTATGTAGGCCTTATATGTTCTCTGAACTTCCTCTATTTCAGCATCTCTCCTGCTCTGAAGGGGAAAGTGAGTACTGAGCAGTACTCAAGACGGGACAGCACAGGTGATTTGAAGAGTACAACCATTATGATGAAATCCCTTGATTTGAAAATTGTCGTAATCCATCCTGTCATTTTTCTGGCTAACGCAATATTTGCTTGGTTATGCTCCTTACACGTTAGGTCGTCAGACATCATTATTCACAAATCCTTTACATGCTGCTTTCCTACTATGGGCAAATCTGATTGTGTTTTGTACCCCTGTATTATGTTTAATTAATAATGTCCTCATTTATACCGTGTCTGAGTACCTGGAATTTATCACCGTTAAACATCATTATATTTTCTTCTGCCCAGTCGAAAACTTTATTAATATCTGCTTGTAGTTTTTCAATGTCTTCAGCAGAGGTAATTTTCATGCTGATTTTTGTGCCATCTGCAAAAGATGATACGAAGCTGTGATTTGTATTTTTGTCTATATCTCATATGAGAATAAGGAAAAGCAGTAGTGCACGGACTGTACCCTGAGGTACAGAGCTTTTACCTGCGCTTGGACTCGATTTTATATAGTTGACTGTTAATCTTTGTGTTCTGTTCGACAGAAAATTTAATATGCACCGTCCTACTTTACCAGTTATTCCCATTGACCCCATTTTTTTTCTATCACTCCATGGTCACATTTATCGAAAGCCTTTGCATAGTCCGTGTATATCACATTTGCATTCTGTTTTTCTTCCAAAGCCTCAGCGATTTTATTATAGTGGTCAAGTTGCTGTGAGAGGCATGATCTTTTCGCTCTAAATCCATGTTGACCTGGGTTGTGAAGGACATTGGTCTACATGAAACTGGTGACCTGACTCTTGATCACTCTCTCAAATACTTTTATTATATGGGACGTTAGTGCAACTGGTCTTTAACCCTCTGTCAATGCTTTGCTCCCTCCCTTGTGTAGAGGAGCTATTTCTGCTGATTAAAGCACATCTGATATCTGCGCCCGTATCCAAGCTCTTCCTTCACACTATACTGAGTGCCTTTTGCTACTGGCACTTTACATTTCTTTATAAATACTGAATTCCATGAGTCTGGACCCGGGGCTAAGTGCATGGGCATGTTGTCAATTTATCTTTCAAAATCTGCCACACTCATGTTGATATCAGTTATATTTACTGGGGTTTGAATATCACACATAAAGAAGTTGTCTTGCTCTTCCACTTTCATGCTGTTTATTGGAGTGATAAACATTTTTTTAGGGTTTCACTAATTTCTTTGTCATCCTCAGTGTATGAACCTTCAATTGTACGAATCAATCGGTACACCACTGACAGTGGCTTTTGCTTTTGATTTAGCAAATGTGAAGAAATATTTTGGGTTTATCTTTGTTTCTTGAATTGATTTCTGTTATAGTTGCCTTTCTTCAATCTGTTATGAATGCTTCAGTCTCTGCTCGATTTCTTCAATTTCCTTGATTAAATTATTCCTTATATGTATGGAAAGTCTTGTCTGCTTAAGCATTTCCGTTATTTGTTCCTTCTTTTGTAGTGACGTATGCATTCTCTTTCTACGTTGGACCTCTTTCTGGCTTTCCTCAAAGGAACATGTTTTGGACAGACTTTATGTGCTTCAAAAGTAAGTTTTTCTATTCCTTGTGTAGGATTTATATTACTTTGAACAGTGTCCCATTGAATGTTTGTAAGTTCTCTATTTATTTTCTCCCAGTCTGTTCTTTCATTATTAAAATTGAATTTACTGAATAACCCCTCTCGCTTGATCATTGTTTCAAGTCTGTTCTGAGTATTGATGGTAGTTTGCACTTCAGTGAGCTTGTGATCTGAGCATGTGGTATCTATGATCGTAATGTTCCCGATTATGTTGTCTTTGTTTGTGAAGACCAGATCTAGAATATTTTCATTCCTAGTTGGCTCTGATATTTGCTGGTTGAGTGAAAATTTGTCACAGAATCTAAGTAGTTCTCTAATCATTGGTTGGTTATGTCCAGATAGATGTCCTGATATAATATTTATTGTTCGCTATTCTACATCTTAGATTGGTCAGGTTGGACCACTCTGACAATCCGAGATTAAACGCCGACCTGCACGAAGGGAGTCAGTCGCTCTACCGTCTAGTCCAAGTGGTTGGGCGCAGCGGTGTTGTGTATACTTTGTTAAAGGCAGCATTAAAAAAATACGCGATTTCTCTCAAAGCAATAAAGCGCCAGGAGAGATACTGATAAAGAACTGAGAGTAACAAAACAGTGCTAAAGCTGTGAGTGGAGACAAGCCTAACGAAGCATTGAGTCGTACTAATCAACATTTTAAAATAAAATATTGCAAAATATAAAAATGTTACTATCTGGTGCAGTGTTTCTCCTCCTCCTCCTCCGCCTGAATCATCCTCGTCTGACGCTTCTGATGCTCTTGTCCTAATTATCCTGCTCATCATCCTTCTTCTATTTTGATTTTTTCTGGTGTTCTTGTCTTTCTCATTCTTATTCTCCAATGTTTTTCTCATCATGCTAATTTTTATCCTCCATAGTCTTTCTCATCCTCCTCCCATTTCTACTCCTCCTCCTTCCCCACTCTTCTCCTATCTATCCTCCTATGTGTTTCTCATCCTCTTGGCAGCCTTGGAGGAGCATCTTATCCAATTACCTCCACCACGCCGTCCCTTTGACAGTTGAAGACCGGCATGGGGAAGCACAGGACAGTCTTCACTTCATTAGTAGCTGCTGCAGCGGTAGTAGGCTTGGCATCATAGTCTCCGTCATCATCATCACTATGATCATCATCACTATCATTATCACCATCATCATCATCACTATCATCATCACTATCATCATCATCATCATCACTATCATTACTATCATCATCATCACTATCATTACTATCATCATCATCATCATCATCATCATCATCATCATCATCATCATCATCATCATCATCATCATCATCATCATCATCTCATCATCATCATCATCATCATCTATCATCATCACTCATCATCATCTATCATACTCATCATCATAATCATATCATCATCATCATCATCATCATCATCATCATCATCATCATCATCATCATCATCACTATCATCATAATCATCATCATCATCATCATCATCATCATCATCATATCACTATCATCATCATCATCATCATCATCATCATCATCATCATCACTATCATCATCATCATCATCATCATCATCATCATCATCATCATCACTATCATTACTATCATCATCATCATCATCATCATCATCATCATCATCATCACTATCATTACTATCATTACTATCATCATCATCATCATCATCATCATCATCATCATCATCATCATCATCACTATCATTACTATCATCATCATCATCATCATCATCATCATCATCATCATCATCATCATCATCATCATCATCATCATCATCATCATCATCATCATCATCATCATCATCATCATCATCACTATCATTACTATCATCATCACTATAATCATCATCATCATTATCACTATCATTACTATCATCATCACTATAATCATCATCATTATCATCATTATCATCATCAATACTATCACTATCACTATAATCATCATCATCATTACCACTATCATTACTATCATCATCACTATAATCATCATCATCATCACTATCATTACTATCATCATCACTATAATCATCATCATCACTATCATTACTATCACCATCACTATCATCATCATCATCATCATTACCACTATCATTATTATCACCATCACTATAATCATCATCATCATCACTATCATTACTATCATCATCACTATAATCATCATCATCATCAGCCAACTTAACCTCTGGAATGATGCATAAAAGTTTGACATCAAAATCCCCAACGGACAAAATATGTTGTACTGAAGGTCACAGCGACTCACAAACATTCAGATTTTCTATGCGTGATTCCTTCAGCAAGGTCAGGTCAGGTCATGTCATGTCAGGTCAGGTCAGGTCAGGTCAGGTCAGGTCAGGTCAGGTCAGGTCAAGTCAGGTCAAGTCAGGTCAGGTCAGGCCAGGTCAGGTAATGCCAGGTCATGTCAGATCAGGTCAGGTCCGGTCAGTTCATTTCAGGTTAGGTCAGGTCATGTCAGGTAAGGTCATGTCAGATTAGGTCAGGTCCGATCAGTTCATTTCAGGTTAGGTCAGGTCAGGTCAGGTCAGGTCATGTCAGGTCAGGTCATGTCAGATTAGGTCAGGTCCGGTCAGTTCATTTCAGGTTAGGTCAGGTCAGGTCAGGTCATGTCAGGTAATGCCAGGTCATGTCACATCAGGTCAGGTCCGGTCAGTTCATTTCAGGTTAGGTCAGGTCAGGTCAGGTCGGATAAGGTCATGTCATGTCAGGCCAGGACAGGTCAGGTCATGTCAGGTTAGGACAGGACAGGTCAGGTTCGAGTGGTTAAGATTCCCACATTTTTCTGTCCGTTGTGGCAACTCAAGAGGATGGACTGAGTCATCATCACCCTCACCACCATCAACATCATCATCATCATCAACACCACATGCAGCATGGAACAGCAGAGGCATGGATCAGCAGCAGCAGCAGCATGGATCAGCAGTAGCAGCAGGAAGTATCAGCAGCAGCAACATGTATCTGCGGCAGCAGCATTAGCGTGTATCAGCAGCAGCAGCTGCATGTATCAGCAGCAGTAGCATTAGCGTGGATTAGCAGCAGCAGCAGCATGTATCAGCAGTAGCTGCGTTTATCAATGACATCAGCAGTAGCGTGGATCAGCAGCAGCAGCAGTATGGATCATCATCATCAGCAGCAGCAGCAGCATGCATCAGTGTGGATCCACAGCAATAACAGCAGCATGTATTAGCAGCAGCATGGATCAACAGTAGCGTGAATCAACAGCAGCAGCAATATGGATCAGCAGCAGCAGCATGTATCAGCAAAATGAATCTGCAGCAGCAACATGTATCCCCAGCATGTATCCGCAGCATGGATCAGCAGCAGCAGCAGTAGCGTGGATCAGCAACAGCAGCAGCATGAATCAGCAATAGCAGCAGTAGCGTGGATCAGCGGCGTCATCATTATGTATCAGCAGAAGCATGAATCAGTAGCATCAGCACCAGCATGTATCATCACCAGCAGCCACAGCTTATATTAGCAACAGCAAAAGCAAATATTTGCAGCAGTTTTTATTACTATTATTTTCTACCACAGACCTGGCCACACATTTACAATGCTAAGCAGCTTACAAATATTTTCTTCAGTCCTCCATGGGCAAGGTTAGAGATCTGTTAAACATATAGTTCAGTGATATATTGAACAACCAACAACAGAAGGTGATTGTAGTGCTAACAAACTGCTAATCTAACCTACATTGATACATAAATACACAGATTTACGTCTCTCCTACATCAATAATGTTCGATGTGTCTTTTTACATAATGTCATTAATGTGTGCTTACAAATTTTTGAACTTTCAATTATCAAAGGCAAGGGAAGAAAAGGGAAGGGAAGGGAAGGGAAGGGAAGGGAAGGGAAGGGAAGGGAAGGGGAAAGCGCCAAGCCAGTACGACTATAAAGCACTGGGAAGGGGTCAGGAAGGGATGGGAAGGGTTAGGATGGGACGGGGGGAAGAAATGATGCCCAACCACTTAGAAGGTCGGGGATTATTTGCCGACCTGCATGAAGCGAGACCGTCGCTCTACCGTCCAGTCCAAGTGGTTGGGGTGTGTTTACAAAGGCGAAATGCAATTCTTACCAGCTTCCACATAACCTGTATACACATACATACATTCAAACATACATACATTCAAACATACATACATTCAAACATACATACATACATACATACATACATACATACATACATACATACATACATACATACATACATACATTCATATATACGTACATACATTCAAACATACATACATACATACATCCCCGCAAGCACAATTAGGTGAGTACATACATACATACATACATACATACATACATACATACATACATACATACATACATACACATACATACATACATACATACATACACATACATTCATATTTATTTATATATACACATTTACATATACACATACATACAGATATACACATACATACACATAGACACATACATTTATGTCTCTCCTACTTTGACAGGGTAAGGTAGCTGCTATAGAAACTAGTGGGTTATTAAGCACTTTACCAGTGAAGGTGATTACAGTGCTTTTACAAACTCAGGTTACACTTACATCACAAACATTGTATAATTGACACATTACACAATCAATCTTGGGTTCAAGTTCAATATAGCATAAAGTGTTCCAGTGTATTCATTTTTACATCCAGTGTATTCATATTTTCCAGTGAACTCTGTAAATATAGCATTTACAGGGTTCAGTATACCTCAGCCAAGGAGGGCGAAAGTCAGTCATTATGGAACATTTTACAATGTAATGTTCAAGGGAGTGCTCTTTCACAAAGTTGACACTTGGTGTATTCCACATTTGGGTTTTGAGAAAACTGCCAGATACGTCTATATCCCAGGCGTATTCTAACCACTATAACATCATACTCCCCGAGTTCTTGCTATATTAGTTTCGTATATGAATGTCTCCTCACGATATTTATCATAATGTTTAATTTGTTAGGTCAGTAATATTTTCATTAAATATTTGTTTAAATATTTCTTAAATCATCATGGACCTTATGTCCATTGTTAATGAAACACCCATGTCAATTTCTACTACTGGTCTACTACAGTCTTTGCAAGCATATCATCGGTGTCATGCTTCCAGATGCCAACATGGGATTGTATCCAGAGGAATTTAATTTCAAATCTGTATTCTTTGCTGCTGATTCTATTCCATTTCAGTGGACTCTTTTCTTTTCAGAGGGGGCCCTGACAGCTGAGTGGTCAGCGCTGGGGATTCGTAGTCCTGAGGTTCCGGGTTCGATCCCCGGTGGAGGCGGAAACAATTGGGCAGAGTTTATTTCACCCTGATGCCCCTTTTTACCTAGCGGTAAATAGTTACCTGAGAGTTACACAGCTTTTACGGGCTGCTTCCTGGGGGTGTGTAACAAAAATGTTGGCCTGGTTGAGGATCGAGCCGCGGGGACGCTAAGACCCCGAAATCATCTCAGGATAACCTCAAGATAACTTTTAACAGCGGAAACATTCATTCGAATATTACTTACTGTTTTCTGGGTGTTACTGCTATGTGCGTTCAATGCCAGGAGTGCACTCTGTGAGTCACAGTACATAAGTCCACTGCCTTTGTCTTATAAATAATTAAATCATAAAAATATAAAATGCCTGCAAGTTTCGCTTCAGTTGTACTTGCCCAATCATTGACGCACTTCATTGCTGTATTTACGAGAGAAGATTGTTTAAATATATTACATGCACATCCGGTGCATCGTCCACCTTCTTCTACAGAACCGTCGGTATATCACAGTAGCAGTATGATCCGCAGCAGCATATATCAGCAGGAGAAGTAGCATGCATCAACAGCAGCAGCATCATCAGCACTTATCAGCAGCAGCAGTATCATAAGCAGGACAGTACATCAGCATGCATCTTTGTGGATAAGCAGGAACAGCATGGATCAGCAGTAACATCAGCAGCAGCATGTATCAGCAACAGTATGCATCAGCATGGATCAGCAGTAACAGCAGTAGCAGCATGAATCAGCGTGGAAACGTAGCAAACAGCAGCAGCATGGATCATCAATTACAGCAACATGTATCAACAACAGCAGCTTGCATCAGCGTGGATAAACAGTAACAGCATGTGTTATCATTAATAGTAGCAGGATATATCAGAAGCAGCAGCATCTATTAGCAATAACAGCAGTAGCAGCAACAGTTGCAGCAGGAACAGCAGCAGCAGGAACAGCAGCAGCAGCAGCAGCGTGCAACAGCATCATGCAGCCGCAGCAGCAGCAGCAACAACAGCAGCAGCGTGCATGGCAGCAGCAGCAGCAGCATGATTCAACAGCATAAACAGCATGGATCAGTGGCAGCAATAGCATTCATCAGCGTGGATCAGCAGTAGCAGCAGAAGAAGAAGCAGCACCACTGAATGATATATGGACACATAAATTCCATGAGCGCCGCTGACAGTCGCAGTACAAATGGCTGCTTCTTGGCCTGCTACGTCAGTCGCACTTAACGGTTATTGCAGCTCAACACACCCTCCTGCAGCGTCCTGCACCTCCAGCAACACCTCCTGCAGCGTCCTGCACCTCCAGCAACACCTCCTGCAGCGTCCTGCACCTCCAGCAACACCTCCTGCAGCGTCCTGCACCTCCAGCAACACCTCCTGCAGCGTCCTGCACTTCCAGCAACACCTCCTGCAGCGTCCTGCACCTCCAGCAACACCTCCTGCAGCGTCCTGCATCTCCAGCAACACCTCCTGCAGCGTCTTGCACCTCCTGCAGCGTCCTGCACTTCCAGCAACACCTCATGCAGCGTCCTGCACCTCCAGCAACACCTCCTGCAGCGTCCTGCACCTCCAGCAACACCTCCTGCAGCGTCCTGCACTTCCAGCAACACCTCCTGCAGCGTCCTGCACCTCCAGCAACACCTCCTGCAGCGTCTTGCACCTCTAGCAACACCTCCTGCAGCATCTTGCACCTCCAGCAACACCTCCTGCAGCGTCCTGCACTTCCAGCAACACCTCCTGCAGCGTCTTGCACCTCCAGCAACACCTCCTGCAGCGTCCTGCACTTCCAGCAACACCTCCTGCAGCGTCCTGCACCTCCAGCAACACCTCCTGCAGCGTCTTGCACCTCCAGCAACACCTCCTGCAGCATCTTGCACCTCCAGCAACACCTCCTGCAGCGTCTTGCACCTCCAGCAACACCTCCTGCAGCGTCTTGCACCTCCGGCAACACCTCCTGCAGCGTCCTGCACCTCCGGCAACACCTGCAGCATCCTGCACCTCCAGCAACACCTCCTGCAGCGTCCTGCACCTCCAGCAACACCTCCTGCAGCGTCTTGCACCTCCAGCAACACCTCCTGCAGCGTCTTGCACCTCCAGCAACACCTCCTGCAGCGTCTTGCACCTCCGGCAACACCTCCTGCAGCGTCCTGCACCTCCGGCAACACCTGCAGCATCCTGCACCTCCTGCAGCGTCCTGCACCTCCAGCAACACCTCCTGCAGCGTCCTGCACCTCCAGCAACACCTCCTGCAGCGTCTTGCACCTCCAGCACCACCTCCTGCAGCGTCTTGCACCTCCAGCAACACTTCCTGCAGCGTCCTGCACCTCCAGCAACACCCTCCTGCAGCATCCTGCACCTCCAGCAACACCTCCTGCAGCGTCCTGCACTTCCAGCAACACCTCCTGCAGCGTCCTGCACCTCCAGCAACACCTCCTGCAGCGTCTTGCACCTCCAGCAACACCTCCTGCAGCGTCTTGCACCTCCAGCAACACCTCCTGCAGCGTCCTGCACCTCCAGCAACACCTCCTGCAGCGTCTTGCACCTCCAGCAACACCTCCTGCAGCGTCCTGCACCTCCAGCAACACCTCCTGCAGCGTCTTGCACCTCCAGCAACACCTCCTGCAGCGTCTTGCACCTCCAGAAACACTTCCTGCAGCGTCCTGCACTTCCAGCAACACCTCCTGCAGCGTCTTGCACCTCCAGCAACACCTCCTGCAGCGTCTTGCACCTCCAGCAAGACCTCCTGCAGCGTCCTGCACCTCCAGCAACACCTCCTGCAGCGTCCTGCACCTCCAGAAACACCTCCTGCAGCGTCTTGCACCTCCAGCAACACCTCCTGCAGCATCTTGCACCTCCAGCAACACCTCCTGAAGCGTCTTGCACCTCCAGCAACACCTCCTGCAGCGTCCTGCACCTCCAGCAACACCTCCTGCAGCGTCTTGCACCTCCAGCAAGACCTCCTGCAGCGTCCTGCACCTCCAGCAACACCTCCTGCAGCGTCCTGCACCTCCAGCAACACCTCCTGCAGCGTCTTGCACCTCCAGCAACACCTCCTGCAGCGTCTTGCACCTCCAGCAACACCTCCTGCAGCGTCTTGCCCTTCCAGCAACACCTCCTGCAGCGTCTTGCACCTCCAGCAACACCTCCTGCAGCGTCTTGCACCTCCAGCAACACCTCCTGCAGCGTCTTGCACCTCCAGCATCACCTCCTGCAGCGTCCTGCACCTCCAGCAACACCTCCTGCAGCGTCTTGCACCTCCAGCAACACCTCCTGCAGCGTCTTCTACCTCCAGCAACACCTCCTGCAGCGTCTTGCACCTCCAGCAACACCTCCTGCAGCGTCTTGCACCTCCAGCAACGTCTTGCACTTCCATCAGCATCTCTACCAAGAGCGCTCGCTCACCTCCGTCTGTATCTAGGGGAGAGAATGATTGTATGTTTGTCCAAGGTTGGAGGCCAGACGCTTGGGGCTAGCCTCACCCAACTTGGCAGAGGGAATGGTCCGCTGTACGGGACGGATTTAGGGGGAAAAGAAGTCCCCAGAATTTAAGAGAGAACAGCATACTAGGGTTTCATTTTGACTCCCACCCCACATGACAAAATTTGGCATGCTTTTTGGCTACATTCTTGGAAAATTAAAATTTCCTTTTTTTCAGATAGTAATATATATACACAATTATTCCCTCATCTTCGGAAAACAAACATAATTGTTGTGGTATTCGTACTTTGGCCATAGTAGCATAAAGCAGATTTTCCATCCTCAACTTCAGGGGTTGTTGTTGTTGAAGATTCGGCTACTTGGAACAAAAAGATCTAAGTATCTAAGTGAGTATCGAAGTAATCTAAGTAATATAAGTATCTAAGTGATCTAAGTGAGCCCATAGTGAACTTCAGATGCGTTCTCAAGCCCCACCTCTTTCTCAAAACAAATGAGTAACTATTACATTTGTTAGTTTCTCACACTTAGTCACCTCCCACCAGCACTCCCCCCCCCTGCAACACCCCCTCCAACAACTCCCCAACAATCACCCCACCCCAACGCCCCCCAATCACCACCCGTTAACACACCAATAGAATTTAATTTATAATTTTTATAGAACGGAAACAGTCAGCGAAAAGACAGAGTCATTCATTAATAGTCAGAATGGAACAGTAAAACAGACTAAAACAGAGTGCAGAGTGACCAGGACATCGAGAGAGAGAAAGACATCAAAAAAGCATAAAAACAGTGACAGGGAAAAATACAAAGACAGAGGCAGACACAGAAAAAGATAGACAGGCAGAGACAGGGAGATAAGAAAGGAGAAGGCGGAGAGGAGGGGATGTCCAAATACCGGGATGGAGAATATGTGAAGATGGGGAATATTTGAAGAGAGGGAAGGAGAGTGGGAGTGGGGGAAGAGAAAGGAATTATCATGAGAAAGTGCCAAGCTATTACGACTATATAGCACTACCATCGGGTCAGGATAAGAATTTGGGATGGGATGATGCGCAACCACTTGAACGGTCGTGAGGGATTGAACGCATGAAGCGAGACCGTCTCTCTACCGTCCTGCCCAAGTGGTTGGAAATGAGGTAGAGACCTCCAGGTAAAGCCGAGTGCCCTACGCCAAGTTGTTATATATCAAAGAAAATGGAACAGGGGGAGATAATGTAACCATTATTAAAGATCTGCAAGAGAAAGATAAGAAAAATGGCTCTGCAGTTAAAGGAAGACCTAAAAGATGGCTCTACGGACATACTGTTTTAAAAAGTAGATTCCCTTCCCGCACCAGTCCTGCAGGCGGCGGGCGGGTCCCGGGAGACTGCCAGACACATATGTTAAGAACACAAGCAGCTGCACCAGTTGGCGTGTAGAGAGAAGGGAGAGGCTCGAAATATTACGATTGAAAGCAAAATTCTATGCCTTCACAAAATGAGAGCCGCCCAGAGTAAATGAGCGGCCCTAAACCAGTACCGACTGTGAACTTTCCGATTAGTGAGGCATAAATGCTCGCTCCTGACGTGGTGATACTGATCTTATGGTCTGTGGGCTCGAAGGTGTATTGGGTTAAGTTGCCCGCTCTTCGTGCGTCTAGTGACGTGTAGCTGGAGAGAGAGCCAGGGTAGTGGCCTATTTGTAGGCCTTAAATGCTTTGTCGGCACAGTTGTCTGCCTCGGCACCACCAATGGTCCGCCTCGCCGCCTCTGGATGTCTGTTAAGCTTACTATTACGTTCCTAAAGGGGGAACTGATATAAAGGAAGATTTAATATTAGAAGGTGGAACACGCATTTAACAACCAGGAAAATTACAGGAGAAGGAATGAGAGAGAGAGAGAGAGAGAGAGAGAGAGAGAGAGAGAGAGAGAGAGAGAGAGAGAGAGAGAGAGAGAGAGAGAGAGAGAGAGAGAGAGAGAGAGAGAGAGAGAGAGAGAGAGAGAGAGAGAGAGAGAGAGAGAGAGAGAGAGAGAGAGAGAGAGAGAGAGAGAGAGAGAGAGAGAGAGAGAGAGAGAGAGAGAGAGAGAGAGAGAGAGAGAGAGAGAGAGAGAGAGAGAGAGAGAGAGAGAGAGAGAGAGAGAGAGAGAGAGAGAGAGAGAGAGAGAGAGAGAGAGAGAGAGAGAGAGAGAGAGAGAGAGAGAGAGAGAGAGAGAGAGAGAGAGAGAGAGAGAGAGAGAGAGAGAGAGAGAGAGAGAGAGAGAGAGAGAGAGAGAGAGAGAGAGAGAGAGAGAGAGAGAGAGAGAGAGAGAGAGAGAGAGAGAGAGAGAGAGAGAGAGAGAGAGAGAGAGAGAGAGAGAGAGAGAGAGAGAGAGAGAGAGAGAGAGAGAGAGAGAGAGAGAGAGAGAGAGAGAGAGAGAGAGAGAGAGAGAGAGAGAGAGAGAGAGAGAGAGAGAGAGAGAGAGAGAGAGAGAGAGAGAGAGAGAGAGAGAGAGAGAGAGAGAGAGAGAGAGAGATGGAAGCAGGTATGCACAGTAAATTTTGGAAGTTTAATAAAGACAACAATGGGAGGAGGAGGAGGAGCAGCTGAAAACACAGAGGGGAACCTGCAGGGAATGGACAACACACGCGAGAGAAAATTGTACTTAGTGAGGGGAAGCTTTGAATATCCTGTAATGACGAAGGGTAAAATGGTTCAGGACTCCTCAGGGAGGCAAGAGGAGGTAGAGCGGACGGGAAATATGGCTCAAGACTTCACTGTAAAGCAAAAGGAGACAGAACAGACAGGGAAAATGCTTCAAGATAATAGAGGAAGATCAGATGATAGAAGAGACATGTAAAATGCTTCAAGATAACAGAGGAAGGCAAGATGAGACAGACCTGACAGGGAAAATGCTTCAAGATAACAGAGGAAGGCAAGATGAGACAGACCTGACAGGGAAAATGCTTCAAGATAACAGAGGAAGGCAAGATGAGACAGACCTGACAGGGAAAATGCTTCAAGATAACAGAGGAAGGCAACATGAGACAAAACTGACAGTGAAAATGCTTCAAGATAACAGAGGAAGGCAAGATGAGACAGAACTGACAGGTAAATAACAAAAAAATTAATAATCTTTAACGCCGGACTAAAAATTTAGTGTCAATTCTTCGTGAGATTTTACATAAAAGAAACAGGAAATATAGAATGAGTGTCCGGGTTCTCGCCTGCTGATAATAATGTTGAGCTATATTAAGGCAGTCATAGGCTCCTGGCTTTATATTTCATAATTTATAAATACATTAAATATTTATATTTCGTGTATTTATATTTAAAATATTTAAATATTTAGAGATAAAATTCTTTACCCCTGAAGGATTGGAACCCAGATAGCCAGAGCTCCATGCATCTTAGCGTATCCAGTACTTTAACCACTAGACCACACTCTCTGTTCAAAAGGATTGGAAGTCGTCAGCCCTTAACTGAACCCGCGAGAGTTCTCGATGGTCATTTTTGGCACAGACATTTCATCGAATCATCTTTAATGCTTCACATAATTGTTACTCACTTGGCCCCAGCATGAGAGGTGGGGCCTGAAGAACAATCTGATAGAGGGTACGGGTGTGGTACTGTTGAGCTTTCCATTAAAAGAATGATGACACGCCATGCAACCTATGAAGAAGCCCCATCGTATCCCCTATCACTTTGTTTTACAAGATCCTTTTGTCCACTGCTTATAAAATAGACGAGACTCCTGAAAGATATTATTGATATGAACGTTATTCAACAGACACCAATCAGAAGATACAATCAACGATATTTACAAAAACAAGAAGACTGCCAACTTATGAAGGACTCTCCAGACACCAAGCAGAACGTCTTAAGAGACACCAACGTCATATATGCCTTCACATGCCCACTTCGGGACTGTCAGCCCCAAAGATCTCAGTTTATAGGCAAGACCACAACGTCTCTCTCTAGGCGATTAACAATGCACAAGTATCAGGGCTCCATCATGGAGTATATAATCTCCACACACAACCCGACCATAACCAGACATCTTAACAAGCAATACTGAAATAATCGACAGTTATAATGACAACAGAAGACTGGACATCGGCGAGGTGCTGCACATCAAAAAGTCAAGGACAGTAATCAACAACCAATTAACATATATAATTACATTCTATCCACTTCAAGACCCCCGAGCCTAACACAAGCACAAACAGCCATAAGAACATAAGCTGCTCATGTTAATACATTTGATACCCTATTAATATCCTCTATGTTATGCAATTCATCCACTTGTTCTGTACCACCTCACCCAAAAAGAATATAAGCCTTTGCAAAAGCATGGTAAATTAATCTTTGAGAATGGAAGGAGTGATACACACTGATAGTCTGACAAGCGAGATAAACATCTGGTACCTGGATGATGGCACTCTCGCTGGAACCCCGGAAACCATTTTGGAGGATATAAGGTAATATATCACATGCATATATACATAATTGGGATGGTGGGTAATTGAATGGGAGGACAACCAGGCCATGTGGGACAAGAAAGTGTGGGTAGCTATAGTGAACCGCTGCTCGTCTTCACGTGATATGGAGTGTTCAGGAGTGGAATATTGAGCTCCTTGTAATAAATAAGGATATAAGGAAATAAGGAGCAGGAACAAGGAGCAGCCTTGGGCCTCATTCTCAATGTATCCAAATGTGAAATAATCTCCCGCAACCCAGACATCACTGGGCAAATAAAAAATGTTCTTCCAAATATTCTTGTTGTCGAGTCACGAGACTGCACCATCCTGGGTGCCCCCATTGGCCCAAAAGCAATCGAGGAGGTCCTGAATGCAAAAATCACTGATCTAAAGAGAATGCTGGACAGGACTGACAAGATTGATGCCCATGATGCTCTTTTCCTCCTCACAAGATGTCTATCTCTCCACAAGTTGACCTTCTTTTGAGATATTGAGATGTTCTCCATCCTACAGCAGCCCTAAATTAAATGTGTATGATACCCTTCTGAGGTCCATACCGGTGAAAGTCCTGAACCTGCCATTGGACGACTCTCAGTGGGAGCAAGCAACCCTCCCCTTAAGACTCGGCGGCCTTGGTGTCCGCACAGACTCCCAGATTGCTCTACCAGCCTTCCTTTCCTCCTCCCGTGCATCGCACGATCTCGTAGGAGATATCCTACCTGAATTCCTGAGCAATTCAGCAGGAAAACGATCCTGCTTTTACTGAATGTTCAAATCAGTGGAATGCTCTTGCAGCCCCATCATAGTTATCTTGAGGTTATCTTGAGATGATTTCGGGGCTTTAGTGTCCCCGCGGCCCGGTCCTCGACCAGGCCTCCACCCCCAGGAAGCAGCCCGTGACAGCTGACTAACTCCCAGGTACCTATTTACTGCTAGGTAACAGGGGCATTCAGGGTGAAAGAAACTTTGCCCATTTGTTTCTGCCTCGTGCGGGAATCGAACCCGCGCCACAGAATTACGAGTCCTGCGCGCTATCCACCAGGCTACGAGGCCCCCTACTAGAACCAACAAAAAAACTTAAACAGTCCAGCTGGGACCACACGCTAGTAGAAAAAATAGCTGGTGCCATGCTCAGAGCCGCAACATCAGACAAGGAGAAAGCCCGCCTCAGAGCAGTACCTTCCCCCCATGCAGGAGACTTCCATCTGGCAGTACCCATGTCGGCAATGGGCACGCGTCTAGATCCAGAATCCCTTCGTGTAGCAGTGGCCCTCCGACTTGGTGCCCCAATACACACTGAATACAAGTGTATTTGCAACAGGGTGTAAACGGACCAATATGGACTGCATGGGTTGCATTGCCGAAGCACAAAGGGCTGGCATGCGAGACACAACTAGGTCATTGACATCATCAAGAGGAGCTTTGTCTCAGATCAGTGCCCAGCGGAAAGAGAACCTCGCATCCTTGGGGACCAAATCCGGATTTGCTTTGTGTCTGGAGAGTTTCTCATGAGTACGTTGGCCGTTTTCTTGGTTTTATAGTAGATCGTCAATTGTATCGTCTATAAAATCTACTATAAAACCAAGAAAACGGCCAACCTACTCATGAGAAACTCTCCAGACACAAAGCAGAACGCTTTAAAAGAGACCAATGTCGTCTATGCCTTCAAATGCCCACTTGGGGACTGTAAGCCTCAAAGAATTCAGTATATAGGCAAGACAACAACATCTCTTTCCAGGCGATTAACGATGCATAAGCAACAGGGCCCCATTAAGGAACATATAATCTCTTCCCACAACCAAACCATCACCATAGAAGTCTTAACAAAAAACACGGAAATCATCGATAGATACAGCGATAGTAGGCGGCTTGATATCTGTGAGGCACTACACATTAAGAAGTCGACACCAGCAATCAACAGCCAATTAATGCACAACTATATTCTACCCACTTCAAGACTCTGCACCAATATAGAAGCATCAAGAAATATGGGCCAATAGGCCCTCTGCAGTTACTTCCATTCTTCCCTTTAACTTACAAAATATTATACCCATTGTTTCGTGTTCTGTCTTGTGTTGAAAGTTTGTTTTCACCTCATCCAAAACTGTTGTAACATATCACCTCACCCAAATGCAGGTATAAAATCGAAGCTGTTTGAACTCTGTTCAGTTATAGTTGTGTGTGTGTAAACTAAAGTCTTTGAAAATGTAATAAGTTTTACGAAACGCGCTCAAGTGTCACGCCAGACAAGAAATAAAAATTAATTTTGGAGAGTTGATTTTTCAGTTACCATCAACAGTGAAAAGAAATATAACATAGAGAAAATTCGTGTTAGAATTATTAATCTTACTTCTTCGGTCATATTTAATAATATATGTCTACAGGAAAGACTGCTACCAAAATATTCTAATATATATATACATATATATATATATATATATATATATATATATATATATATATATATATATATATATATATATCGTACCTAGTAGCCAGAACGCACTTCTCAGCCTACTATGCAAGGCCCAATTTGCCTAATAAGCCAAGTTTTCATGAACTAATGCTTTTTCGACTACCTAACCTACCTAACCTAACCTAACCTAACATTTTCGGCTACCTAACCTAACCTAACCTATAAAGATAGGTTAGGTTAGGTTAGGTAGGGTTGGTTAGGTTCGGTCATATATCTACGTTATTTTTAACTCCAATAAAAAAAAATTGACCTCATACATAATGAAATGGGTAGTTTTATCATTTCATAAGAAAAAAATTAGGGAAAATATATTAATTCATGAAAACTTGGCTTATTAGGCAAATTAGGCCTTGCACGACATAGTAGGCTGAGAAGTGCATTCTGGCTACTAGGTACGACATATATATAATATATATATATGTCGTACCTAGTAGCCAGAACTCACTTCTCAGCCTACTATGCAAGGCCCGATTTGCCTAATAAGCCAAGTTTTCATGAAATAATTGTTTTTCGACTACCTAACCTACCTAACCTAACCTAACCTAACTTTTTCGGCTACCTAACCGAACCTAACCTATAGAGATAGGTTAGGTTAGGTTAGGTAGGGTTGGTTAGGTTCGGTCATATATCTACGTTAATTTTAACTCCAATAAAAAAAATTGACCTCATACATAATGAAATGGGTAGCTTTATCATTTCATAAGAAAAAAATTAGAGAAAATATATTAATTCAGGAAAACTTGGCTTATTAGGCAAATCGGGCCTTGCATAGTAGGCTGAGAAGTGCGTTCTGGCTACTAGGTACGACATATATATATATATATATATATGTCGTACCTAATAGCCAGAACGCACTTCTCAGCCTACTATACAAGGCCCGACTTGCCTAATAAGCCAAGTTTT